GCTGCCTTCTCACCCGGGAGCCGGGGGTGGAGGACTCGTGCGGGAGGGCGGCCTGGGAGCACGCACGCACGCACGCCCGCTGCCTTCTCACCCAGGAGCCGAGGGTGGAGGACTCGTGCGGGAGGGCGGCCTGGGAGCACGCACGCACGCACGCACGCACGCCCGCCTGCCTGCTGCCTTCTCACCGGGGAGCCGGGGGCGGAGGACTCGTGCGGGAGGGCGGCCTGGGAGCTGCCTGCGCTGCCCGAGGTCTCCCAGCAGAGGATAGGTTGACACTCGGTCACCACAGTCCCTGGGGTTCTTGCTGTTTAGCTCATAGAAGCAAAAGGATTTCGCTTTTTTGACATGCCACATTCAGAAGGCAGAGAACCCAGAAAGCAACAGGAGGTCTCTGTCTGTGTCTCCTCATGTGATTCTCTAACCTGTTGTTACTCAGAGGCTCAGCGGCCGGCAGCTATCAGCAGACCACCTAGAAGGATGCCCGAGTTGTATGAGGTTGGATCCCTAATGGTAGCCGACCTTAATCGAAGTCTTGCGTTGCCCACATTTCCCTTACACTTCACGACTTGCAAATCACACAGGGTTTGGATACTTTTGTAGGTGAGGCGAAGGAGATCGGGCTCTCAGCTCCTGAGTCATGCAGCTCAGTGCTTGGGCCGAGCCGGTTGTGCTGTGGCCGAGGCTGTGGTGGTGCTGACAGCAGCCCTTGACCTCTTAGAGAGCTGAACAGCAGTGGTGTCTGGTGGTGGCCTGGGCCAAGAAGAAGCCCGACTCCTGCCTCTGAGGCTTTTATGAAGCACTGGAAATAATCGCGCTTCCACCGTGCATGTGTTTCAGATGACAAAGTCGTCGTTACCTATTCCAAAGGCTATGCGTGCGGTGAGAACAAGACTGCGTCCTCTGTCATAGAGCTGACCTGTGCCAAGACGGTGGGCAGGCCTGCGTTCAAGAGGTGAGGCGCTGCGCAGGCACTGTCGGCCTCTGTGGTGTCACCTGGCACACAAGGAGAGGATATTTGGGTTTGAGACTCAGGGCCTGGGGACTGGAGCCGCTGAGGACTTTGGGGTGTAGGCTGAATACAGCTACTAGACCAGTGAACTCCAGCCTCCCTTGTCATTGAAAATACACTTTCTGAACTGGCTGAGCATCGTCCGCACCGGCCGTGCAGGGTTTAAGTGGCCACTGTCTTTGAATGTTGTCGCTGTGGAACTCACAGGACATGTTGAGGCAGGCCACCTTCCCGGCCAGGCCTGTCCCCTGGAATGTTCTCCAGGAGCACTGTGTGCCAGGGGCAGCTTGGTCAGCAAGGGGCGGATGCGAGCTGTGCGTGGTAATAAACCATTCCTTCTGGAAGCTGGACTTGAAAAAGGGGAATCCCAGAAATTGTCAAAGGACTTTCAATTTATGAGTCTCTCTTAAATCACAAATTCGTAAGCCTCTAGGAGTAAATTTTCCCAGCTTTAAACATTGCTCTGTTCCTAAATGCCAAAATATTTTATACTGCATTCCAATCTCTTTGGCACTGGGACCGTGCTGGTCATCTTGGGGGAATAGAGACCACTCCTAGCTCAAAGCCCAAGCGCAGCAGGCCTTCTGGTGGCCCTTGGGGGCTGATGGGGAGGCCTCGGGATCTGGCTGGCCTGACCTGGCCTGAGAGCCAGCGGGTGTGTTCCAGGCGGGGCAAGTGTGTGTGTCCTGCTGTCCCTCGTGTCTGGCTGAGAGGTGACGGACTGTGGTTCTCTTAGATTTGACATCGACAGCTGCACCTACTACTTCCGCTGGGACTCGCGGGCCGCCTGCGCCGTGCGGCCTCAGGAGGTGCACATGGTGAACGGGACCCTCACCAACCCTGTGAACGGCAAGAGCTTCAGCCTCGGGGACATCTATTTTAAGTAAGTGAAACACTTTCCAATAACCCACATTTCTCCCTGTCCGGGAGGGTTGGGAGATGTGTAGGACTGTGTGCTTTAGTTACAGTTGCCTGAGTAGCCATCATATTGTGCTTAAACCAAAGAAAGTATGACTCGGCTATTGAGATTTAACAACCAAAAACGTTGAATGCTGGGCGTATAAAAATAGCATTCTTCATCCCCTGCGTTTCTCAAGGCGCTCTGCAGTGCAGCGACGCTCTGAGAGCGAGTCAGGCAGGTGGCTCCTGGCTTGGCTGCGTTGTGGCGGTCGTGACCTTCTGCCGGGTCCTGAGAGTTACCTTGGAGTCGGGTGGCGGGGCGTGTGGCTGAGTGGGAGGCAAGGGGCTGTGTGGTTCTGGGGACAGCAGCTCCAGCATTTGGGAAAGGTGCGTTTGTGCCTGAAGGCCTAGGGGCATGGTGACGGCTGGGCTGCGTGGAGGTTGGTTCCCTGGTGTGGCTGGAGCTGCAGAAGCTCTTCCCCAGCTCGGGGATGCCGCAGAAAAGCGCAGGGCCTTGGAGCTCTGTTCGAGTGACACCCAGAACCTCCAGATCACTGTGCTGCTCCGCTTTTCAGGCTGTTCAGTGCCTCTGGTGACATGAGAACCAATGGCGACAACTACCTGTACGAAATCCAGCTGTCCTCCATCACCAGCTCCACGAACCCCGCGTGCTCCGGAGCCAACATCTGCCAAGTGAAGCCCAGTGACCAGCACTTCAGCAGGAAAGTGGGCATGGCCGACAGGACGAAGTACTACGTGCAAGGTAACGCAGCGGTGGAGCGTCCCCCCGGCAGGACACTAACCTGTCCCCCACCAGCTCCCTTCCGCCGCAGCCTCCCATCAGTTGATCAGTTGTAAAGGAAACCTAAAACCCGTGTGCAGTATGCCGACGCGTACCTCTCTGCAGCCCGCTGGGCCGGTGTCAGACCTCAGCAGCTCTGTGTGCTGCCCTGCCTGGGTGGGGGGGGCTTCAGACAGGGGACACCCGGGAGTTCTGTGTGAGATAGGGACAGACTTTGGAGCTTCAAGTGACAGCAGACAAGGATAAGAGGCCGTCTGTTAAGGATAAGAGGCCGTCTGTTAAGGATTAGAGGAACAGGAGAAGCAATGGCCAGGCCTGCGTGTGCACGGAAGGCTTCCCGCTGGTCCTTGTGATCATATCCTGCAAGGCAGCTTGGGAGCGCTTGCTTTAAACAGCTCCACTCACTGTGTGCTCTTTAGGAGTTTAAAATTTGGGCAGGGTGGGGGCGGAAAAGTGCTAGAACAAGCCCACACTCGCAGCACCCTGCTCCTGAGCTGGTGGGCCTTCACGAGCACTTGGGTATGTGTGAGTTCCTTGTGCCAGGGCCCGGGGCCGTGCCCTGAGGGGACATTCTGTTGCCAGGAACCCCATGTGGTGCAAAATGCCCGGCGTTGTCTCTTCTGTCTTCTGCTTGTGGTCCTGCCTGTGTTTGGCTCCACCACCAAATTCCTCAGGGACTCCAGGTCATCCTGGGACCCGGCCGCATGTGCAGGGTGCGCTCCATGCACTGGCATGCCAGGGCCCGCCCACCATCCTCCTAACCCCGCCCATCCACCTCCCCCAGAAAGCCACCTTTTACGGATCTGCTCACAGAAGCTGTGTTCAAGCCCCATGGCATAGTGCGTATCTGTAGGGCCTGTGGGGCATTCTAGAGTCCCCAGCATCCACAGGATGCACATGTCCACACTGGTGTGTGTGTGTGTGTGTGTGTGTGTGTCTGTCTGTCTGTCTGTCTGTCTGTGTGTGTGTGTGTTCACTGTGGGGCATTCTAGAGTCCCATTCTAGAGTCCCCAGCGTCCACAGGATGCACATGTCCACACTGGTGTGTGTGTGTGTGTGTGTGTTAGTTCATTTGGGGCAACCCAGCCTGCATTGTGCGTATCTGTAGGGCCTGTGGGGCATTCTAGAGTCCCCAGCGTCCACAGGATGCACATGTCCACACTGGTGTGTGTGTGTGTGTTCATGTTCATTTGGGGCAACCCAGCCTGGTGTGTGTGTGTGTGTGTTAGTTCATTTGGGGCAACCCAGCCTGCCCTCAAAACTCATTGTCCTCCAGTTTCCCATGTGCTTGGATTACAGCTGTGTGCCACCATGCTTGCCATATAAGGAATATTTGGTTAAGGAAATGCCTTTCAGGCCATTTCACGTGGCTCATTTCACCCACACCATGAAGAAGTTAGTCTTCCTTTGGTGGGGGGGCGGGGGAGGGGACCTGTGCTTCCTGCTGAGCCACCCATGGAGTTAGGAAGGAGCAGCCCACCTGGCACGGTTCACGTCTCTTACTGCTGGTAGGGGCCAGGGTTTGCGTGACTGGCCCCCACTTGGTAACCTCACAGAATTCACTGGAAGCCATTGTGTATATGGCGGTGATGGGCAGGACACAGATCACCGGCACCGGCACCAAGGCCCTCAGAGCGCTGGGTCTAGGAGGGGTTGAACGCAGAGCCGCCGGTGGTCTCCACCGTGGAGCCTGAGTGTGTGTGGGTCCCACGGCCATGAGCGATGCTGTGCATGCAGTGTTGCCATCCAGCGTGCCCCTGCACCTCCGCTCCCGAGTTTCTGTTGGGCTCCCTTGTGCAGATGACGGTTAGTTGCTCATACGATTGATCTCAGTCTCCAGGTAGAATGATGGCAGCTGGCCAAATCATGGGACAGAGTAGCCAAGTACAGAGCTAGGCCTCTTGGGTTGATGTTAAATTCTTCCCCTGAACTTGGGACAAGGGCTCCCCGTGTGAGGGGCAGTCTGAAAAGCTGGTGGTAATGGGAGTGTGGGTGCTGTCCCTCTTCCTGCCGACAGATGGCGACCTGGACGTCGTGTTTGCCTCTTCCTCCAAGTGTGGGAAAGATAAGACCAAGTCTGTGTCTTCCACCATCTTCTTCCACTGCGACCCTCTGGTGAAGGACGGCATCCCCGAGTTCAGCCACGAGACCGCTGACTGCCAGTACCTCTTCTCCTGGTACACTGCAGCTGTGTGTCCTCTCGGGTGAGTCCAGCCAGCCGGGCAGTGGGCACTCTGTGTGTGTAAAACATTCAAACTTTACACAGGAAAAGTAAAAGGATCACGAGGTCTCCTGGCCAGCCCCACCCTGGTAGTTCTCAGCAAGCTGCTGTTTATTTGTGTAGTCAGTTTCATGGCTGCCATCCTCCCCCCCCATATGCGTCCAAGGTGTGCACCGTGTCCGGCTGGAGAGGCCTGGCACGGTCCTTAAAAAACCCTCACAAAAACCTCCCAGTGAACATGGAAACAGATCTGTCCCAGTTGAGCGTTAAGAAGAGATTTCAGTCACTGCCAACATCTTGGTTAAGCTTTGTTAGAAACCAGAAAGACAACTAATCTGTGCCCAGAATTCTAGTCTACGCAAACTGTAAGGATTGGTTTTAATTACTAATTTGGAAAGGACAGTTTGTTTAATGGCAAGAAATAACAAAAAAATACCGTCGTGGGGCTGGGAAGGTGGCTCAGTGTAGAGCGCTTGCTTTGCATGCATGAGACCCTGGGTTCAATTCCTCAGCAACACATATGCAGAAAAAGCCGGAAGTGGCGCTATGGCTCAAGTGGTAGAGCGCTGGCCTTGAGCTAAAGAGCTGAGGGACAGCGCCCAGGCCCAGAGTTCAAGCCCTATTACTGACAAAAAGAAAAAAAGGAAACCACCGTCGTAATGTTTCCTGCGTATTCACCTCTGTAAGGCACAGGAAGTCCATAAGGAAACAACCGATTAAACGTGGGGAGATTATGGGTTACTGTTATTTACTTTGTTATTGTAAAGATCATGTGCAGAGGGATTGTAATTACATGAGGCAGGTAATGTTTCCTTTTGTACTGTGTCTTCCCTTCCCTTCCTCCCTCTGCACCGTGTGTCTCCCGTCTGTTGGGGGAGCAAGGCTTGTGCACTCCCTTTGTCTCCCTCCCACCCACTGGGGTCAGTGCTGTGTGCCTCCTCCCCGCACGGTCAGCGCAGTCTGTGTGCCCGCACTGGTTTTGTGGAGCACAGCTGCACTTCAGTTAAAGTATTTTCTGTTGAATGGATAGAAAACGTACTCTGCAGACCCAGCTTTGAAGAAGCTGGATTGAAAGAACCTGTGGAGAACTCGGTCTCGGCTCTGGCACCTGGGGTTTCCGTCTGTCTTCCTGAGAATTGTGTCTGAATCTCCACATGCGGGTGCCAGATATACGAGATGTGTGAAGCAGCTCAGTCAGGGCCAGGAGCAAGCACTCATGTGAAATGTAGAAACACTTAGAAACCACAACATGCTTCTGTAACCCGTGGTTTAAAGCAGAAACCAGAGTTGGAAACTAAAGCGTGCTTAGAACTCAGGGTGATGACGGTGGCTGGGCCGCCAGCATGCCCAAGGGCTGGTGTCGGCTGCTGCACAGGTCTGCGCGGCAGCTAGCTATTACAGCTTGCCCTAGAACCCAGCGTCTCTAAATGCACAGCAGGCCTCCTCTGTCCCTTCGTTCCTTGCATGTGTGTGGCTAGTGGGGTCGCGTCTTGTACCCTTTTCCGGGCTGCCTGCCTGGGGGACAGCCCCGTGTGTCATCCTGTGCCAGCTGGAGTCACTGGGGCCAGGAAGGTTGCACGGATCTTTACATGGACAGTAGCTTCTAAGCAGAAGGAAGCTTGTCTTGACCATGTCTACTTTCATGTTGCTCGTACCTCCTGCCGTGCAGGTGTGCTGCTTTTGCCCGCATGTCTGGAGGTGGTGGGTGCACTGGCAGGGTGTCCCTTCAGGGTGTCCCAGGAAGGCCGGGCTTGGGGTAGAAGGCTCCTTGGGGTCTGCTCAGCCCAGCCTTGTCCATGCTAGATTCGAGCCCTAGCCTCATTGACCTACTATGAAAGCAAACCCTCCACCACAGAGAGCGCTGGGTGGAGCCCAAGGCGGAGCTGCACCCGGGGAGGTGAGGGTAAGCCCTGCCCGCCTACCTGCCTGCCCGCCTGCCTTTGTCCACTTGCAGCTGGTGACATTGTACTGTGCTCGAAGCACTGCTTTCTGTCTGCTGGGCGAGTGAGATGTGACCATGCTGGGGAAGGCCAGGAGTCCGGGGCACTGCCGTGGCCGCTGCCCCGCGCAGTGACCTCTGCCTTTCATGTCTTCCCAGGGTGGGCTTTGACAGCGAGAGTGCTGGACTGGACAGGCCGGAGTACAAGGGGCTCTCAGAGCGGAGCCAGGCCGTGGGAGCCATCCTCAGCCTGCTCCTGGCGGCCCTGACGGGCTGCCTGCTGGCCCTGCTGCTTCACAAGAAGGAAAGACGGTAAGGAGGGCCCCAGGGGCACAGTTCCCAACCAGGTCCTGGGCCCAGGCTGCGTCGTGGAGTTTGAGCTTGAGCCCACTAACAGCAAATAGCTTAAAGGTCTTCACTCAGAGCTCTCTGTGCCAGCAGGCTCCACAGCTTTTTAAAGGTCGTGACCAGTGCTGGTGGCTCACACCTTTAATCCTAGCTCCGCAGAAAGCTGAGATCTGAGGGTTACAGGTCAAATCCAGCCCAGACGATGTCTCTAGTGACAGAGTATTAGTCTTGGACAGTGCCCATGCCCTGAGTTCAAGCCCTAGGACTAGCATATGTGCGTGTGTGTGCGCGTGCATGCGCATGTACACACACACACACACTGCTTTCTAAATGTCTGTTACCAGGACGCAGTGTATGATTTTCAGAGCTGTGCACCATCAGGAGTGTGACGCGGCATCTCATGTGGATGCACTGTGAACTCCTTGGCTCTGCCTGCAGGTGTCTAGGACACTGGCTTCATGTGTCCTAAGATTCGTGGGGTTTTCTACATTGTTCACAGGCAGACTTACTGCTGGCAGGCTGACCCCTCCCCCTCCCTCACCACATAAGCGGGTGCCCATTAAGCTCTTGCTGCCTGTCACATGTGAAGCTGGCTTATTGGCTGCCGCCACTGGGTGAAGACAGCAGTCGTGTGACTGCCCACAGATTTGCAGACACGCATCGTGAGGCCTTGGCAAGGTGGTCAGCTACGGACTGGGTGTCCATACACAAAGGATTAGGGGAGAAGGTTGGCCGAGGAGAGGATGTCGACGCCCAAGGGAAGGGAGGAGCTCCTGTCCCGGGCACACCCAAAACTCTGAGAGAAGGCAGAGGATTTGCGTCCTCTCCCCTCATGCCATGACAGAAACATGGCTTCGTAGCTGCTGTAGCAGCCGTGCGTCCCTCGGGTGGAGGAGTGTCTGGCATCGCAGCCCTTGTGACTGGCCATCCTTGGCTGTGGGTGCCCAGGATGGGGCTCTTGACCGCTGCTACTGCTTCCCCACAGTAACCGCCATCTCCTCCTTACAGGGAAACGGTGATAAATAAGCTGACGAACTGCTGCCGAAGAAGCTCTAGCGTGTCCTACAAATATTCAAAGGTACTGACTGAGCCCGGGGGCGGCGCCTCCCTGCCCAGCTGCCCGCGGGCACCCAGGGGCACCCCGCGCTGCTTCCCTCTTGCTCACGCCTCCTTCCTCGTGGTCTTGTCATCGTACTTTGGCTAGCTCTGATGAGATTACCTGCACTCAGCATTGAAGCCCTCCAGAAAGAGTCTTGCCTGGGTCAGAGGACATAAACATGTTGCTAGCTCTCGACACACACTGTCAGATTGCCCGAGTGCACTGTGACCTGAGCCCTTCCCGTTGTGTGTCTCTTCTTGCACACTGAAGTCCCCTTCCCTGTTCCATAGCCACTTTTTCCCCTTTCCCTACCACCCAGGCAACCTGCCCTCGCTACAAGCAGGCCTGGAGGGGTCCTGGGAGCAGAGCCTGGGATGGACTGGGGGCTGTGGCCCAGGCTGGCAGGGAAGGCCCCTGACCTGGGGCGGTGGGGCAGGGAGGGTGGCCAGGGAGTGGAGCAGGCCTCTCCAGAGCTCACTGTCTCCGCTGGTCCCTGCAGGTGAACAAGGAAGAGGAGACGGATGAGAACGAGACGGAGTGGCTGATGGAGGAGATCCAGCTGCCGGCTCCCGGGCTGGGGAGGGAAGGGCAGGAGAACGGGCACATTACCACCAAGTCTGTGAAGGCCGAGGCGCTCACGTCCCTGCACGGGGACGACCAGGACAGCGAGGACGAGGTCCTGACCATCCCAGAGGTGAAAGTTCACTCGGGCAGAGAAAGCTCCCAGCCCAGGAGAAACCCACCATGCAAGGCCCTGCGGGAAAGGGAGGACGATCGGGTGGGGCTGGTCCACAGCGAGAGGGCCAGGAAAGGGAAGCCCAGGCCCGGACAGCAGAAGACGGCGGGCTCGTCCAAGCTGGTCTCCTTCCATGATGACAGCGACGAGGATCTCCTACACATCTAACCCGGTGCCTACAGGAGAGCGCGGGCCGGGCGGCAGCCAAGCACCTCCAGCCAAATAAGACTTCAGCTCCATGATGCTTCTAGAATTTTGCCTTTAACAAAAACTGCTTCAAAAGGGAAGAGTTTTTGTGCGCGGGGGTGGGGGGTGGAGGCGAGCAGGCGCCGCTCCTTCGAGATTGTTTACATCGTTGGAACGCGGCCTGCTCTGATTGGCCAAAGGGCGGTGCCTCGTGCCCAGGGTTTGCCCGAGTCCTCGTCTACAACCTCGCTGCTGCGCACTCGTGACAGTGCCAGGCCCGTGCATCTCAGAACAGAGGGCTGTGTTTGAAAAACCCTTGCTGCTTTAGACCCTCTAGGGTGTTTGACCATTTATATGTTAGCATTTTAAGTCTCTCCCCCTATTTATTGACTTTGACAATTACTCAGGTTTGCGAAGAAAAAAAAACCCGCCAGTTTGTGGTGGCAGAGGCACAGCGCCGGGGCCGGGGAGGGGGCTGCCTGCGTGCCGGCCGGGGCCGGGGCTCGTGGGACTGGAGCTGGTCCAGGTTGGCAAACTGCTTAACGTTTCCAGGCCAGGCGGGCTTGTCTGCTCCCGGCCTCCGGCAGGGAGAACCGGCTTCGGTTGTCTCTCTGCTGGCACCTGCAGTCCAGGCGGCCGCATTGCCTTTCTCCGGCTGGGGAATTCGAACAGCCCACCCAAAGATGAGATTCCTTGGTGCGTGGGAGTGGAATTGGGTGTCAGAGGAAATGACTGCTTTCTAGGTTTGGGCTGTAGGTCTGGTTGGTTCAGGTTCTCATCATACCACCTTTACTGTGCTTATTTTTTTAAGAAAAAAAAAAAAAAACAGTGTTTATCAACCATTTGACCTATAAGAAGCCTTAATTTGCACAGTGTGCGACTTACAGAGATTGTAAGATGCAGGGTGGGGGACGGAGGGCAGGCCCGGCTTCTTCCACTGGCTGTGCGCTCCCTTCTCCAAGTGTTCAGTGAGTGACTGTCGTCGCGTTGTAGAATTGTACATAGGCGCAGTGGTATTCCCGTACTGAAAAGCAAACTCCCGGCAGAGTTCTTTGGTTTGTGCCTGATTTGGCTGGCTTATTTGATTTCCACATAAGTGTATTTTTTAAAATTGATTTTTTCTCTTCATTTTTTTCCAATCAACTTTACTGTAATATAAAGTATTCGACAATTTCAATAAAAGATAAATTATTAATTGGTTTTGTTTTTCTCCTCCCCGTTGGGATTGTAAAAACTTGCTGTGCTCGTGGCTTGGCTTTTCTTTCTGTGCGACTCTCAGTCTCCTGTTTGACCTGTACTTCAAACAGCGGCTCAGTTTCTTCTCTGCTTTGCAGTTGTAGGGGTTCCCCTTGATACCGGGGCGCCTGCCTTCAGCTCTGGAGCCGAGCTCTCCACTCTCCACACGGACCCCAGGGATCTCCTCTTCAGCGGGCACAGCCCCCGACGTGGCCTCCAGGGATAGGATACAGGATCTTTGTGTGATGCAGTCCAGTGTAATGTGCAGCATAGCCTCCCAGTCTGCCTTTCACACAACAAATTAGCAGTGGAGAGCTACCTACGTGTTGATGGGAAAGCAGACCGTTCCTGTAATAGTTCACATTGTCTAAAGTTCCTGCTACCTGTGGTCCACAGATATTACATAGAAAATTCCATGAATCAAGCTTAAATTATATGCCATTCTGAGTAGGTGGAATCTCCTGTGCCGCGTGCGGCCGGCGCGTCCTCTGTGTGCCCCCCTCCCACTCATCACTAGGATGCCGTGCTGGTGCCTGTGTCCCCTTATTTACCTAGTGGCTACAGAGCAGAAGAGTAGTGAAGCTGGCCATTCCCATAGGACAAAGAGAAGCCAGGAAGGACTGGTGTAGGTGACTGGGTGAAAGTTCTTGACACAAGGAAAGCAAAAACCTATGTGGAGGAGGAGGGAGTTGGTGGAAAGTTACCTCTCAGTCTGTTCGTCCGTTTTGCATTACTGTGGCTAGGTCAGTGCGGGGAGAAGCCGTGGCGTGCGTGCTTGCGTGGGGACGCTTCCCAGGGCATGCTGCTCGTGGAGCGGCTCCTGTGTGGACGCTATTGAAGTGCCTGTTACGTTGCGAGTTAATGGATGCCTCGTCTTGGTTCCTTGAAGGATTTTGTGAGAATCTCCTGGGCTTTTACAAAGGTGTATGCGATGACTGAAGTTTTGGGCTCTGTGCTATCTCCCTGTTGCCGAAGGCCGCCGGGAGCCCTTGGTACAGAGGGGCGTCTGCAGGGACCTGCTGCCCTGGCTAGCCGTCGGGAGGGGCTGAGGACGGAGCAGTGCCACAGGTGTGTGGATGTGGTTGCTCCAACTCGGCCTCCACCCAGAGCCTCTGAGAAATGCAGAGAAACCACCTCTGTCAGGCATGATAGATAGGAGTACATCCTCCATGTGTAGTTTGCCTTTAGGGACACGTGGTGAGGCGCAGACGGCTCTCCACTGGAACTCTTCGGAAGCGTTGGAAGCCCCCACTTCTCCAAAATGGGTGTGGCACAGGAAGCACCCAGCTACTAGAAAAGGTTAGGCCACCCAGGGCCAGCGTGCGGGGCGGGACGGCGTCTCCATTCCAGAAGCCCCTTTCTCGGCTTCAGAGGAGCCCTGGGGCTCCCGAGGGGCACCCACTCCACGTCCTGATCCTCTGCCCCGGCGTTGACTTCCAGCCATCCTGCGCTGCAGTCAGCGCCTGGTGCACACTTTTGAAAGGATTTTTCTGCCGAAGCTGAAGGAAGACAAAGTCACCAGAGCGAGCCGGTGAGAGGAGGCCACGGCTGGAGCCGCCCAGGCCAGCCCCGGGCGGGTCCCGAGGCACCATGCGAGAGCTGAGTGTGGTGGGGGAGACGCAGCCCTCAGTGGGGGTCCTGGGGTGGGAGGGCTGGATCTGTCCCCAAGGAAGTGGGGGCCGTGGAGGGCCGGGTTCGCTGCTGAGGTCTCCACGCCGGGGGTGGGGACTGTCGCTGTGGCATCGCCACAGGCTCCGGCTGGAAGGATCTTCCCCAGAGACAGGGAAAGCGGAGGTCAGGCCGCCCCTTATTTTGCAACCAAATAGAGCTGATCCATTGCTTCAGTACTCCCAGCGTAGAGCGGACCCCCTGGCGTGAGTGGTGAGGCGGAGCCTTTGTGGGAGTCAGCCCATCCCAGAGGAGACAGCCTTGGGCTCTGTAGCTTGACCCGTCTTTCTTGCCCGGTCAGCCTGGCCTCTGCTCTTGCCCCTGTATCTGGTTCCATCCCATCTCTTCGCTGGCCCTGGGGCATAGCAAGGCCTGGTCAGCTGTGCTAGACTAGGGGAAGTTCCCCTTGGGTTCGTATCTAGTGGATGTTTGGTGTGTTGAGGTGATCTACACAATGTTTCAGAAGCTCAAGTCTCAGTTGACTCACTGAAAATTGACCTAAAGTCAAACACGGGTCAGGTGACCTGCCATCTTAGTTTGTTCTGTGCTGCTGTAACAAAATACCAGAGACTGGGAATTGTACAGAGAGAAGAGATTCCTTTTGGTTCGTGGCTCTAGAGGCTGGGAATCCAAGGCCATGATGCCGATGAGAAGGCGTGCTATTTCTATTCAGAAACAAAAGGGCCAGTTAGTGGGCACACGTGGAAGGTAGAAGGTACGGGGCCGGGGGGGGGGGGAGGAGGGGAGATTCTGGATGATTTATAACAACCTGTTATGTAACTGGCCCATGCTGGTGCTAACGGCCTTAACCCCTTCGTGACAGTGGAGCCCCTGGGCCACAAACGCTTCTTAAAACCTCTCCCACGTCTCAACTTCCTTATACTGGCAATTCAAGTTCAACATGAAGTTGGCAGAGCACATTGTAGATCTCGCCTCCTCCTGGTCTTGGATCGTCGATCTGTAAGGTGGGGTTTGTCAGCTCGGGAGTCATGTGTTCAACAAGGCCCTTGTCTGTGACCCTGAATGTTCAGTTCTGGGAGGGCGGGGGTTCCCAGCTCCCAGTCCCCAGTCACTTCTACACCAGTTGCCCTGCGTCTCGGCACAGGTCTCCGCAGACTGGAGCCATGCACTTAGGAGCGGCTGGGGAGGAGTAAGGTGCCTCTGTACCTGGGCCAAACAGAAAGAAGGCCGGAGGCGCCCGTGTGAGTGGCCAGGACAGCTGCTGTCCTGAGTGGAATAAATGAGCAGCTGCGTCAGGCTGGGGGGGGGCTCACCTGCTGCCCCAGCTGTGTGTGAAGCAAGAACTTTGCCCCCAGACACTGCTTCCTGGGCGTTTGCAGCACCTGTTTCTGGAGAATGTGGCATTTGGAGAAACTGCAGAAAGGACTCAGCCTTCCTTCGGAGCTCTCCCTCCTGCCAGCCGTGCCCAGGCTGAGCGCTGTTGCAGAAGGAAGCTCGTGGGGTGGGACATGGTGGTGGCCGTGGCAGCTAGTCGGACCGGAATTCTGGACTGCTGGTGCCAGCCTGCATTCTACAGTGCAGAGGAGAGCTGCAGAAACAAGGGGCTTGGCCCTGGAATGCCCATCCCCGTGCCTTGGCCCTCCCAAGGGCTGAAATGGGGCAGGGCAGGCTGCTTTCAGCCTGGCAGGATTAGATGGCTCCTGCGATTCTAGCCCAAGCCCCTGGGCGTTTCATGTGTGCAGATGTGGCCGGGCCTGGCTTTCTGGGAGTCGGAGGCCTGCAGGGCAGCTGGCTGGGTGTTAGGTAGGTCTTGGGAAATGTGACTTTGCTGGAGATCGCTGGGCATCTCTCCCTGTACTGTTGCAGACTGGTTGCCCAACCTCGTGAGCCCATGCACCCAAGTCAGGTGCACTGGTTGACCAGGATGGGACGTTTCCGGGGCCGAGGCCAAATCCGAGACCTGGCCCCTGTCTCTGCTTGCGGCGAGCAGACTCATGCTCTGCATTTCCTGGGCTCGGGTGGTCCGGGGTAGACCTGAGAGCCGACGAAGCTGCCTCTGTCCCCAGAGTCCAGGGCTGGGCTGCTGCAGCTGTGTGACCCTCTTGTCACAAATGTGTTGGTGCAAAGCCCCTCAGCTGTGTGGACTGCAGCCCAGCCGGGGTCCAGTAAGACCCGGACTCAAACCCAGACTCCCCTGAACAGAGCTGGCAGGCTTCTGTCGCGGCAGATGTGGGTCCCGGGGCCTCAGTGTCTCACCCTCTGCTCCCAGCAAGGCAACGGGAGAGAGTTGTGGAGAGCAGGGGTTTCTGTGTTCTGGGACATAACCACCAAGCGGACTCCGCACACTTGCCGCTTCATTGAGCCATCACAGCTGTGCACCATACAGGGCGCAAACACCAGGAGGCGGGGGGGGTCTGCTGAGCTCTGAGGCTCCTGCCCGCTGCTGTCACTGCACTGCTGACGGTGCCTTTACAGGTCTGTGAGACTGTCCCATTCCTGTAGCCCCAGGCTCAGGCAGCCAGAGGCAGCTTAAAGAGTCAAGCGATCTTGCCAAGTGCCAGTAGCTCACACCTGTAATCCAAGCTCCTCAGGAGACTGAGATCTGAGGAGCCTGGTTTGAAGCCATCTGGGACAGGCAAGTCCATGAGGTTCTTCTGTCGAATGAACCACCAAAAAGCCAAAAATAGAGATGTAGCTCAAGTGGCAGAGTGCCAACCTTGAGCAAAAAAAGCTAAGGCCCTGAGGACACACACACACACACGCACATATGCACTGACACACACACAAAAGAGATCTTGTACCAGGGCAAAAGGAAGTTCAAGTTCAGTTAGCTATGGCTAAGACATTTTTACTTCCCTCCACCTTCTCTCTCCCGCTGAAGGCTGCGGTGAGAATGAGTCAGGCAGCAGGTGACTTGGCCCCAGGACCACTCCAAAAGTGCCGGGAGTCACTGCCTGAGTGGCTTGGCTGTGCCCTGTCACTGTTTCTCCTCCACGAGTTCCTGGCCCTCAATTCCTCCAAGGTGCACAGAACTATGCTGGAAAGCCACCACCCAATGCAGGTCTGGAGGAGGCAGTGTCTGACCCAGCCAGATGTAGGAGGCAAGGAACCCCCTGATTGGACGCTACGCAGCTACACCCAAGCAGTCGGTTTGTGGCCCTTGATCTATCTGCATTATAAAAGGCTTTTTGTATAAACAGGGAATTGATCAGGGCCCTGGGAGATGCAGGAGAGTTTCCAGCCCCCTTGCTCACCTTCTCCCTCGCTGTGCAGGTGAGCGGTGATCTCTGCCTGACCAGCAAAGCAAACAAGGCAGCTGTGGACCTGCTG